GCGTCGCGGGGCCAGTCACCCATGAACCGCGAAGGCTTGAACGCTTCCGGCTCGTCCCAGTATTTCGCTGTAGATATGGTTGGGTCACTGAACACGTTATATGTATAATGTCTGACCACTCACGGTTATTATGGAGGCCCACGGTATCAATATTGATCCCAGAGCCCTTGGGAATTGCGAGGGTAACCTTATCACCGTTATTGTTGGTCGTAGTCAATGTGCAGTCCTCCGCTGCGAATTTAGGAATGCCGATGACCTAATGTTTGTGAGTAAACTGAACAAAAGTGAAACAATCCACAGGAACTCACTGGAGGGAAAATTCGCAGTGTCTCAGAAAGAACACTAGACACTGGATGAGTTTCAATCGTGAAATAGGGTGCTCGACATTCTAGCGTACCAAATGACGTAGTCGAGTGAAGCCATATCTTGGAATATCTGCCGTTCGGTACAAGTGAGCCACCCAGAACATACGCTCAATATAACACATGCTACTTACTGGGTCTCGATCTTTGGGAACAGCCTTGATTACTTCTTGATAAAGACGCTCCTGTTCGTCTGGGTAGAGTGCTAGCAATCCTAGAGCAAAGCAAAGAGTATGTGCGGTCGTCTGTGACCTCCTGTGTTAACACTTCCAGCTTCAAGGACGTGCAATGATAACATACCTCGTGACCTGGATGAAGTAATCGTTAGTATTCTGAGAAGCAACCACATAGTAGATGTACTCACCAGCGACCAGGAAGACGAAGATATTGCCTGAATATGGATCGTCAGATTAGGCATCGTTCGCGCAGAACGAACCGACTCACCAATAAGTTCAGCATCGGTCAGCTGCGCATCTCCTTCACTCGCATCCAATAAACTGCTTAGTAAATCATAGCGTTCCTCCTTGACCTCTGCATTTCTGCGAGACGTGACCATCTCCTGCATGTATACCTGGTCCAAATACGACATTTAGAACTCTCACAGCATATGTATGAAAAGAAAACTCACCCCAAGCTCGTCAAACGCTTCGAATACTTTCTTGACATGTGGCAAGAAATAAGTGGCCCAACGTGGTGCCAACATTCGGGTCGGGATAGATTCCGACACCGTATACAATGCATCCTAAACAAAACTTTGATAAGTTTCCACCCGTAACTCGAGATGGGACAGACACCCGCCTTGAAGGTGATCCGATGTCCTGCGGGTGGCGCCATCTCATCATTCCAAGCGAGCCTCCGCCCAAACCCAGCGGCACCAATGACAAAGAGAGCGATCTAGAGCAAGCGATGAGCGCTGAGCAACAGAATATGGCACACAACCTTCGGGCCGAAGCACGTACAGGCATAGTGATGTGCAATGCATTGTCGGTCACGACTTGCTTCTGATTTCCCCAGACGTTGTTGAACAAGTCGTTCATGATCTTCACGGTTTCATCCCATACAAGCCTGTTATTAGGCTGCCAAGCAATGAATAAAACTGCGTCGAGAACATCTGACGACGTAACATACTTCTGTAAACGCAGGGTTTGAGATTCTCCTGAACCTCTTCCACGCCTCGTGCTCCGACGCCACGATATTGGTCCCGTAGATCAAGAGGGCATCATATAGCTCGATTGGCTTGGGGAAGCGAGCGCGGGAGCCGACGACCTCCTAGAAGCAAAGTTCAATTTCTCGTGCTGAAAACTCGCAACAGGATCACGAACCTTCACAGCCTGGGGATCGGCCAGAATGAAGTTGGCCTCGAGGGGCCATAGAGAGAGCTTTGAAATACATCAGCGACGCAAACGGCGGGATATCCATAGCAGATCCACGTACCGCGTTGAAAATATCCGAGTCGAACTTTTCGAACGACGTGTATTTGTCTATGAACGCGGAGTTTCCGACCGAGATGAAAGGAATCCGGGGGAAGAACGAGCTTGCACCATTGACACTGAGCAGCGTACGGAATCCCGGTCGATATCTTCCGAGTGCAGCGATTAGCTAAAACGACAATGGTGAAGATGACTGAGTTCTGCTCACTGAACGGACGCGAGGAGCTTCCTGAACGCAAGGAATCTCTCGACAGCAACGACCACAACTAACGCGAGGATGATGATGGCCGTCGTCGACATCGAGGGGGACGTCTATGGAATGGCGTGGAGGAGAGGAGGGAAAAGAGTGTTTATGCATCTGGAGGGCGGGAAAATAGTGACAGGTCAGGCTAGGAAGAGACAAGCATCCGTGATCGTCCACCGAGCCCGAGAAAGCCGGAGAAGTCCAACACATGGTTAGATCACCAAATGTTCACAGGATTGTCACTTGGCCACATGGGCCCAGAGGCAACTCGTTCTCGTGCTGGTCGAATGCATCCTGTCGCCTCCCCATATCCTCCAGGATGGGACGCCACAGTGCTTTCTGCATGGCGAGAGGGAGGCTGGGTTGTAGAGTGTTGCAGGCGTTTGTCATTGCTGACAGGCTGATAGGAGCTATTCCTGAGGTAATTTCTATCGACGCAAATTGACTGTACAGTAATAAGCAGTGTCAGAATATATGACACTCTGATGAGTGAAGAACGGCACATGCATCCCGTACTGACCTTGGATCCGGACTTGGAGTGCGGTAGCACACCGTCGGACATCGATCTGTGTTCCCCCAAGTCATTAGTGCTGTGATCAGACGCCAGTGGTGTTGCTATCTGCTACTGTACCGTTCGAATTTCAATTTCAATGATACTACCATTAACCCTTCCTTCCTTTCTTCCTTCCTTCAACTAGCACTGCATGTGCTACCGTCAAGGTCCTCGGGTACTGTAACTTGAAGTGGCAACTGGGCTCAGCCAAGCTTAGCAGCACACAAGTAAATAATTACGAACTCACCTACTTCGGCATGAACAGTATGCTATCCTACAAGGAAGCCATATGCAAGATAGAGGATTTGCGAAAGAGCTCGACTTTCCGGGGACTATCATGATAAAGCAGGGTGAGTGACCCGGTTGCGCCAGGGCGCTTATACTCCAGTTCCAATCATCTTTCCTACGCCGAGGGACTTCGCTACGTGAATGCTTTTGAACCGTTCATCTCACTCGTCCTCCTTTCTATCCTGCCTGACGCTGACTTCTCCTCGCCTGATATCAACTATGGATACCGAGACCACTGTCTCCCGAAACATCGTCTCTCTCCTCGTTGACCCTCTACAGTGGCGCCGGTGCTGCCCATCTACAAATCTCCAGCAGAAGATGTTGAATCTACAGATACCACGAGAAAGACTCTAACACCGGACGAAAAAGATGTGTACGGATAGGAATGCCGAGCTCGTCGCCCCTGGAATTGGATAGATATTACCTCATTCATGGATTGGTCTTGGATAATCTTTCTTTGCTTTCGGGTTACCCGGTTGCTTTGATCTTACACCGGAATACACTGTCAACTCTTGTTCTGCTCTCCGAGTCTATGGTCCTCTCTGGGTGCTCATCTGCACATGCCCCCCCTCCCTCCGGCAGACGCTAACAAATCCCGAATCCCGAGGAATTCCGTGTTCGGGAAGGAACCATTGACGTTCACGTTCCACTGGCATGGGGTTCAGCTGGACATCCTCCTGCGTCGTCCACTTACCTGCTCTAGGATCCCAAACTCAACAGATAACCCCGAACGAAGATCCTGTCTCAAGTCGTTGAAGGACAACTCAATGCCGGGACGAAGCTCCCAACACCACTTTTGTAAGCACGTCCCCGCCCATTGATAAATCATCTGCTTACTCTACTCTCCCTCCGCAGAACGCTCGACCATGGAAGCTCACAACTCGATACCGAGGCGTTCCGTTCTACCTAGCAGAACATACATAAGACCTTCCACGGACGCACTATCGCGTTCCCACTATCCCCAGCATCCACTTCCCAGATACCACGTCCCTTCTTGCGTCGTAAACGTGTGGAATTCCACGGCGACGCGGACATTCTACAAGATCGACCAGACCTGATGGACTCGCATAGTAACAAATGGCGTCGCGCACCTTCGGTGACTTCTGTCTTGCTCAACCTCGACCTTCCATACCGTCCACCCAAAAGCGCGTTCGGGAAATGGGTGTGGCGGAAGAGGGTATGGCTGGAGACGACGTTTGCATTGTCCGTATTGGAGCCTTGGGAGAAGCTCCTCGTCCGTACGTTTCCTCCCTTTCTTCTTTTTGCTGTGTATCTCTAGGCCCTTTGAGGACGCGACTGAGTAACGGTTATTTTTGACAGTCTGCGTGACGTATTTCACGCTTGTACTCGTCTTCATAGGCCTGTTCACCTACGCGCCACAACGGATATCACTGGGATATTCCAGGATGGTGTATTATTTCCATGGCCACCAGACGGACATGGGCTCTCCGTGGCGTGAATCCCTATGGCCGTCCCAGAACGCATCCTCGTCGGTAGGACATTAGTGAGAGATAGCATATCTCTCGTCCCGGGTGTTTACAAGATGGTGAGTATCCCCGACTTCATGATATCGTGCGTTTGACGGGGAAGTTGACAATTCACCTTCACTTGCATTTACATCACCGTAGATAGTTTTCTTGGTGGATTGTTGTAGCTGCTGACAAGGGCGTTGGCTTCTGCACTAGATGATGGGGATTTTTGACTCTTGAGATTATTTGGAATAATTACAAACTTGTACTAAGTATACACAGCGACACCCTTTCCTATGGATTGACGAATGCAGTCAGTATCGAAGTTGCATCGTGGACTTGATACCGTTGACCGAGTTCTTCTCAGTTCTGGGCTTGGATTCATCTCCATATTGACAGGGACATCTCGCCACGCAGCTCTAGGACAGATGGAGTAGGAGCAGGACAAGCGGTGGGACCCGCGAGTGGAGGCGGATACATACAGTCTTTGTACGATGTGTGCACGTCGGACGAGCAATCGATTGATTCTGTCCTGATATTTTTGAGACGTGCTCTGAACCTTTGGAAGACCTCAAGGCAAGACTAAACCGTAAACGTGTACATGTACAGGGATGGATTGGGGACAGACGCGAATAAAAAATGAACCAAAAAATCGGGCCTGGCCGGGAATTGAACCCGGGACCTCCTCCATGTGACTTAACGCCCTAAGAAGGAATCATACTACTAGACCACCAGGCCGATGAAATACAGTAAATATTTGTAAATGATAAATAGATAAATAGACTAATATCATGAGATACGCGAGACGCGACGCGTCATGCCTGTGTTACGAGGCCCGCGTTCTGCTCAGACAAGAAACCATTCCTCTCCTCCCCTCATCACCATCAACAACCATGTCGGCACAAGCATCGTCGTCGTCGTCGCCTCCGTTGGACGAGAGACGTGTAGCAGCCCTCAAAGGCTACAGAGAGGTACGGAGCTATTTGGACTCGCTTTGGACCGGCATTAACTTGATTTACTACAGAAAATGCGGCAACATGAGAACAGCAGCGAAACGTTGAAGAACTGTAAGGAAGAACTGTGATGTATAATTTATTTGCAATCTTTGAACCTTTCGCGGCAGTGCGATTCTCTCTCAAGGACCTGGAGAAAGCCTATGAGAAGACGGAGGACGATATCAAAGCCGTTCAGTCCGTAGGACAGATCATCGGAGAGGTCATGAAGCAACTAGACGATGAAAGATGTATGTACTCTTACTCTACCACCTCTATATCTTCTTATACTTCGTATGCAGTCATTGTGAAAGCATCGTCAGGCCCACGTTATGTGGTATCCTTCCGACCCGCCCTCCCCGTGTCCAAGCTGAAGACTGGAACCCGTGTCAGTTTGGATATGACAACGCTCACCGTCATGCGGATATTGCCCCGTGAAGTCGATCCGTCGGTGTACAAGATGAGCTTGGAGGATCCCGGAGGTGCTACATTCGCAGGTATCGGTGGTCTGGGAGAGCAAGTTCGAGAACTGCGAGAAGTGCGCCTTGTAATGCTATTCCGTTCTTTCTGCGATATTAATTGTATTCTACAGGTCATCGAGCTTCCTATTCTCAACCCCGAACTTTTCCAACGTGTCGGCATCAAGCCACCGAAAGGTGTCCTCCTCTACGGTCCTCCGGGAACAGGAAAGACACTCCTCGCCCGTGCCGTTGCTGCGACACTCAACACCAACTTCCTCAAAGTCGTGTCCTCTGCCATTGTCGACAAGTATATCGGAGAATCTGCAAGAATCGTTCGAGAAATGTTCGGTTACGCGAGAGATCATGAACCCTGCGTCATCTTCATGGACGAAATCGACGCTATCGGTGGTCGTCGATTCTCAGAGGGTACAAGTGCGGATCGTGAAATTCAGAGGACGCTGATGGAGGTGCGTTGGACTTGTGAACATGGAAGGTTACTATTTCGCTGACCTTCATGATATAGCTGCTGAATCAGATGGACGGTTTCGACTCGCTGGGCCGCACCAAGCTGATCATGGCAACCAATCGTCCAGATACCCTTGACCCCGCCCTCCTCCGACCAGGTCGTCTCGATCGTAAAATCGAGATTCCACTACCGAATGAGCAAGCGCGGATGGAGATTCTCAAGATCCATGCGGCGCCAGTCAACAAGGGTGGTGAGATCGACTACGAGGCTATCGTAAAACTGTCGGATGGCTTCAATGGTGCTGATTTGAGGAACGTCATCACCGAGGCCGGGATGTTTGCTATTCGGGATGATCGGTAAGTACATCATTTCAAGTCATATTTTCTATGATTCTCATTATGTTTGCAGTGAGTACATCAATCAGGAAGATCTTACCAAGGCGGCACGGAAAGTCGGTGAGGCGAAGAAGCACGAGAGTACGTCGCTGTATTTCTGAAGTGATGCCGAGTTACTAATCCACGTTGGTTTTCAGGCAAGTTGGAGTACTCTGCATAACCATAATACCCTCCAGCTGTTTCTAGATGATTGCAGGACTCCTTTGTACATGTTACGACAATCGCATGCATTTTCATCATCTCATTTCGTGTTTGTTGAATCCTTCTGCTGCTGGTTGGTTGGTTAACATCGTCACCAGTGAAAGTCCATATTTAGACGACGAGGTACGTTTCCAATTGTCGCACACCGCATTGAGAACTTACCTCTTTGCTCAAGGTATGACACCCCGATGGGTATTTCTTGCTCAGGTACCTGTGAAATCTATAGCGACACGACACATCCCTCGGAATTGGCATCGGCCTTACCCACCCTATGTCGAATCGTTTCTCATTGTATCAGTAAAGCTTTTGGCCCCACGGTAAGCGAAGGCGATTGGTGGGAAGTGACCGACCGGGTTCTGAATGAAACCGACGCAGTCTATCTGAGCGAGGTGAGACTCGCTTTGTCTCAGGTACGAAGTGTTTTTGACTTCCTACATTAAATCTTGTCACTGACGAGGTCTTAGAATAGTGAATGATTGTTCACTTCGTCGTCAAGAAGTGGGTTCTTCCAAGGGGAGAACCCAAACCTTTGGCTGGTCCATTGACATATAAGACCGATCTTCAGTCGTTAAGTTCACTAAACACCTCGCCAGTTGTCCGCCAAGATGAGCCCGGTGTCGACGTTTCTGACCGTCTTTCTGCTCGCAGCGCTGAACTCCATCCAGAGCAATGCCCGGAAGTTAGACCCTGTAGTGTTTGGATCCTTCGTCGGTAACACCGCGACGTACTCTATCGCCAGCGAGCTCGGATTCTTCACTGACCAGAACCTCAATGTTACTCTATCCCCAGTACGCCCCCCCTTCCGCCTCTTCACTTCCCTTCACCGTTGCTTACGCTGGTAACCCGCACCCACAGATCCCAAACTCCACGTTCGGGTACGCCACGCTTCTCAACGGCGGATACGACATCCTCGTCGGCACAGTAGACAACGTCGTCAACATGCGCTTCAACACCCAGAAACAGTTCACCGTGGTTGGACAGTTGGACCTGGGACCGGATTTGGTGATCGCGGGTGCGCCGGGTGTCAATAGTATCGCTGACTTGCGAGGAAAAGCTCTCATGGTGGATTCACCCACGTCTGGGTACGCGTGAGTATCATCCTTGATGGCACATTGGGTGGGCCCGGTCGGGCTGATCGATAGTGTTGTCGTAGGTTTGTCTTGGAGAAGGTCCTAGCGTTGCACGGCTTGCAGTTCGGGACGGACTACACTTTTCAAGTACGCTTCACTCTGCAGCTTGTACATGACGACATAGCACAAATTTGACAACTATTTGTCTCTAGCAAGTCGGCGGGACTGCGACACGGTTCGCTCTGCTTCGCAACGGGACCCTCGCAGACGGGACGCCGACAGCCGGAACGATCCTAACCTTCCCCTTCAGTAAGCCCGTCCACACACTTTGTCTACACCCACCCCCACCGTCACATCGCTAACACGATTCCACGTCCTCACAGCCGCCCAAGCAACAGCGGCATCCCCTCCCCTCCCCATCCTCGCCCGCATATCGGACTTCGTGGCACCCTTCTTCTCCAACGCACTCACCATTCGCTCAGACAACGCTGACCCCTCGTCGAACCCCTCCTCTCCCCTTGTGCGTACAGTAGCCGCACTCCTTGCAGCGAACCGGTTCCTCGCGAACCCTTCAAACAGAGAATGCGCCGTCCGCGCCATCGCAAAGGATAACGGCATCTCGCATGCACTTGCAGAGCAGGAATACGTTTCGGCGACGAATCCGGTTTCGGGGGAGACAGGTCAGGTGGATTTCGATACGAGTCGGTTAGGGCTGTTGAATGTGATTGATATTCGGATGTTGGCGGGTGGGTTTGCACAGGTTGGGAAGGAGTTTGACTTTGTGAGTGCAATCGAGCCGGGACCAGGGTTGTTGTTGGATCTGAGGGTGAGAGATGCTGCGTTGAAGCTGGTGAAGGAGGCAAGAAGTAGTCGATGTCTATTGGCTTAGAAGCTTTATTTATTATACACTCATGAGAAGAATCTCCATATCCATGGTGTACTGCAGTATAGTTCCTCGACCATCAGTTGCAAACAGGATACTCAAGAGATTAAAGGGAAGAGTAATCCGATCTTATCATTATCTATCTCCCTAAGGTTAGGGTTAGCGCATCGCAGGACCGAAAAAAAAAATGGCCTGCCCAGCCCGAGGGCCGAAGCAGGACAGGAAAATATTGAGACGGTGCACGAACCGGAGCCCGTACAAACCGCAGGTTTCCTCTGAGGACAAGGTCGCCGTGCTATGGAAGACCCCCACGGCCCACAAACCCAGGTACGTGAAGGGGCTTGTGCCATCAAGGTAAGTATGAGGTGTTCGCATGGTTGGGCGGTCGTTTATATATGCTGCACCCTCTGCGCACGGACCATGTCGCGTTCGCGCGGGCAAATGGGGTGGTGGGTCTTGGTCTCGGACTCTCTCTGTCGTTCGTTGAGATGCGATGTTTCAAATATGCCAGTATATTACAAATGCAACTATATCATCTAGCAAAACCCATATTCTCATACTCGTACACTGGGTGGTCCACGCTTCAATGTTTCACTGACGATACACTTGAAAACGAAGGGCGGGCGAAGGCGAAGGGCTCCTGATCTGCGCGAAATCGCTGCAAACCAATTCGATCAACACAGCGTGCAGACATTGAGGGAAGTGCAACATACCGGAACATCTCCATGTCGACCTGTTCATGCGACGTGCGAAAAGTCAGTGCAGTCTATCAATTACAGCGCAAAGGTACGCACCTGGGACTTGAAGACCATGAAGAAATGGCTGTTGTCATGGGTGTCGTTCGATTCACAGTGGAAACAAAGATCCTTGGGACAGTAAACACAGCGGAACCATTCTCCCACAATACGTAACATGCAACGATCGCAGACAGCGAACCGGTGCGTGAGGGTCTGGAGGTATTGGCTGGGGTAGTACGAGTTGTAGACTCCGTCAACAGGACCCGCCGGAACTTTGTATCTAACGAGCTATGAGCCTCCAGGAGCGGGGTATAGGAGATAGCCAATAGACTCACATAGGTGGGAGGATAGGATCCTCTGATTCAATGGGAGTGTCAACTGGTCGCGGCAGCTTGAAGAACACATGCATTGGGTCGTGCGACACGTAAGAGTGTGGTTCACATTCCGCACACTAATCCCCCCAACGGATGTCAGATTGGGATTTGTCAATACGAGAAGGGTTTGAACTCACGAGATTATATGCGGTAGGTTTG